AATGTTACACACCGGACCTTTCAAAGTGTGCTTTCTTGTATGTGTACATGCCTTGTTTATTTTAATGTTTAACACCAACTAGCTCAGGGACTGGAAAGGAAAATGAGCCCTTTGGCTAAATCTGACACTTTTGGGACCTATCATATTCATGTTAATTATTGTGTATTGTACATGATAAATAAATGGTTAGAGTTAAAGGAAAGCAATGGAATGCACAGTTATATATATATAGCATATTTCATCTCCTTTTTACATTACAAATAAACAACACATTCTACTCTTTTAAAGACCCTCCATATATCAAGAAAAATATACAAATAGTCTGCTTGGAACAATCATGTGTGTCTGATGTTAAAACATTTATAGTAATTATAATAATAATGTTTGCATTAAAATCCATATAAAGTAATCTACCCCCTCTACCTCATTAAAACTTTGTAAATATTAATTTCTAAAGTTTTCCTGATGTCTCCCTCCCTTCACGAATGTAAAGTCCATTCTCAGGGACATGTGCACTGGTGGTCGTCCACACTATATAAAGTTGCACACTGACCTGTCCCTTAAAATCTGATTTATCAATGAGACACAGAGAAACATTCCACATTGTTCACGCAGATGAATGTGAAAACATCCTTCTAGTATCAAACTGCACCGACAGCAACAAGAGGAAACATTAATTTTTGACTGGAGGGGGGCTTTAACCTCAACCTCCAAACAGTATATCCAAATCTCTTCAAGCTTAATGTACTGTAGAGATTGTCCAAACTATCCAAATCAATCCTTCCAGCACATCCTTCCAACAACTAAGGTTCAAGCAATTTTGTTTGGAAACAAAAAAAATAAATTCAAATAAAATGACAACAGTTCCTGCATGAAGCTTCCCTAATGGTAAATTGACTGCATTTATATGCCGCTTTGTAGTCTACCACTCAAAGTGCTTTACATGCTTACATTCACTAGTTCACAAACACATTCATACACTGATGGCAGGCTGCCACAAGGTGCCTCTAATGAGGAGCAGTTCGGAGTTCAGTGTCTTGCTCCAGGAAACTCTTTCTGGATCAAACCAGGAATCTTATGGTTACCCAACAACCACTCTACCTCCTGAGCTAATGCTTCAGCATCTCTGATGAAGGTGAGATAGCTACAAATGTTTGGGGAACAAGGAACAGAGAGCTGTGTAACATGGTATTGTATTGTGTCGCAATGGACTGAAACTCACACTGCATCTTGCTGTGTGATGTAAAAATTAGACTTATGCTAAAGGGGCCATGACTCCTCTGTTCAGCTGCTGTATACAGTATGTATATACACTTTTTTGGTTGAGGTGGGAGTTTTTGAGAATTTCCAGTCCAGAAACTTTATTAATAAAATGCCGGACAGTAGAGTGAACTTTCAGGGAGTGATTTCAGACATAGTCATGGTCTTAATGGTATTTTTTCGCTGATAAGAAAAATATAGAATGGCGCCAGGCTTATCATTTAACAGCACATATCATTTCAATATATTTTGAAACTCTGATTGTTATGAGGCAGAACATGTAGTCTGTGGGTCCAAAAGTCCAACATTGATCCTTATCTTCAATGTTGCAAAGTTTTTGGGTTGTCTGAAAGATCCTGGATATGCTTTTCATTTATTGATCACATTCAGCAGATTGATATTGTCCAAAGCAACTTGCAATAAATGCAGTGCATTACTGGCATGTGACTCATGTGACAGATATGTGAAAAAATAATAATAATAACTTTATTTGTATAGCACTTTTTTAAAACAATGTTTACAAAGTGCTTTACACAAAAGCAGTTGCAATAAAGATAAAAGAATAAAGATTTAAGGCAATATATGAGTTAAACAGAACCAAATACACACCAGAAATCAGAGATACTATTAAAAGATTAAAAACATAACACACATTAAATAGTGTGTGCAGAAAAAATAAGAAAATCACAAGGACACACAGGAAAAATACACATAAAAGCCTGATTATAAAAGTGTGATTTTAGCACATATTTAGCTAATTTTCTCAGGCAGGCAGTTCCAAAGTTCAGGCGCCCTAATAGAGAAAGAGCATTTCCTTTATTGAGTCTGGACTGTGGAACCAACAAAATGAAATAAATGTAAGTAAATTGAGCAATTAAGGCTGAAATTATTTGTAATAATATGTAAATAATATGAATTGAATGGTAATTATTATTTTTTTCCATTCCACCAGGAGAATGAAATCCATGGTGCAGGAAGGTCAGCAGTGCTCGTTTTAACTTGAAGATCAGCTCTTTTACTTTTACTCTAACATTAATACTGCACACCTTTCTCAATCCAATTTCTCACCATTATTATTTATTTACACTATTGTTATATATTTTATGAATAGTTTTACATCGTATTATATATTTGTATTGTATTGTATTGTTATCATATATTGTAGTATAATACATATTTGTATACTTCTTATAGAATGGGAGCAACTGTAACAGAGCCCAGGGATCAATACAGTGATTTTAATTTTACTTTACTCCAGTCATGGCAATATTCATGCCTGGGGTTAGCACTGATGATGATTTGTAGGCAGAAGAGTTCAAGAAAGAGAAAACCAGTGCTGGATAAAAAAACGCTTATTAAACACTCAAACCACAGAATGAAGGTGCCACAAAAATGTAAAAAAAAATGTGATCCATCAGTGTTGGCAGGTAATCTATCAAGCTAACAACCATATCTTATTACCTTATTTGTAATTGGATGATTTACAGTGATGCACAGCATCCTCATGCTCTCAGCAACTTCCAACGCCTCAAGTAAAAAGTTGCTTATCTGACTCCTTTTGAGATTTTTTTCTCAGTCAGATGTTGATATGTGTCGTGATTAAACCTTTCTGCATACACTGTTATTTCTGCACTCTAATTGCTCCTGTCTGTAAATCATGGTGGTGTTGAGACGCAGGTCATGATAACTTGCTTTCATTGACGTATCAAGCTAGATAAACGCTAAATTAAGTAAACATCCTTGTTTACCAAGACTATGAATATGGGTTCTCTCCACCCATTAGCCTGTGAAAGATCTGACTTGGAAATGTATGTTGTGTGGTACCGCCTTGCCCAAAGGTACTGTGTCACACTGGGAGTGTTTGTTTGCCGCTGTGTGTGTAGCTCTTTGCTTTCAGGTACTGTGTTTGGCTGCTCTGTCATCACAGCCTCGATCTTTCTGTGAGATCTTTATCCACCATGTCCTGGGCAAATACTCAGGGTTGGGAAGTAAACCAGGAGCAGGATGTGGCCACTGCCTGTATGTATGGAGGTGATAGACTTCTCACACAGCTGCTTGATTGATGGGCTTCAGCTGAATGTGAAGTGTTACCACAGGTCGAGGTGAAGGCGGGCACACACACACACACGCACACATTTAGTTTGATATTGAATAGAAACCACAATGTGGCTGTACAATCACTCTGTCCTCAGAAACCACATAAATCTATTGTGTGCACATTTTCCCAGAACTGAGTGCACTGATACAATACACTCTGCAACAAACGACAGACTGCAGGAGAGTTGAATCAAAACCCTGTCAGTATAAAATGTACATTATTATCCTGACAAGCATTCTGTGTTACTACTGGCCTAGACCGTCTTTTAGTTTAGTTTACCCTAGTGGGGTCAGGGGCATGCTCCCTTTGGGAGATTTCACATTTACACAGCTATTTGCACTATTTTTCAAGCCAGGAGAGATAATAGAATGAATACAAACCTGTACATTATTTAGGAAAGATTGGGCAACTGTCTTCATTGTTCTGAAACCAGAACACAACCAATACTGAGGAGGCTGAGGGAAAATTACACAAAGTTCAAGTTATTTTAAAAGCCTAAAGGCTCTGGGCTTTATGAGAAAACATTCAGGGCTGGAAGCCACCCCCAAGTTTAGGAATAATCCTAATAATAATCCTTCTACCCCTTCTATCACTACTTACAGAGTTTGTATCACAATTTGTAGAAATAATTTCGAATTTTTTTAGTTTCAATTTTACCTGTGACGTAAAGGTCTAGAGTCTGGCCATGAAGTTGCAACTAACTGAACACTACTCAATTTCTGTCAATAGTGCCTCCTAAATGTTACACATTAGACCTTTAAAGTGTGCAAGAAATTGCTGGAATGAACCGTACAGACGAAAAACAGACATGCTCAGCTTGCAGCTACAGTATGATCTTTATTAATGACAACTTTGTGGGTTTACAATCTTATCACGCTAAAGAACGCTAATACATTCGACATAAATAGAGGAATCATGTATGCAGATAAAGCTGACACAGATTCAATTCTGGTCCTATTAATTTACGCTCATTACACAATATCCAGGTTTTTTTTCCTCATCTCCCGCCTCGACGTGACTTGTTGCTGGAGAGAGTGGTCGCCTTTACACTGTGGCCAAAGGTGGAGCAGTCTGTCTTGAGGCACCCGCAGGCGTCAATGTGGGTGTAGGTGTAGGTGAGCTCAGAGTTGTCGGGGCAGGAGAGCTGGATCTTCCGCTCAGATGTGGCCAGCTCCTGGCAGCAAGAGCAGGTGTGCTGCAAGGCTCTCATTTTGGTGGAGTAGCTGAGAGGAGCGTGTGAGAGAGAGAGAGCGAGAGAGAGAGAGAGAGAGAGAGAGAGGGAGAGAGGGACGGTGTG